AGTAAAGCATAACTGGATAGAAAAGCACCCATTGGAACAATATCAACTGACCTCCTCAGAGCCCAGTTTTAGGATAGAATAGAAACTTTGATATTATTTAAGCAGTGTACGTAAATAGGAATTTGCAGGAATTTGGTCTACACTTTATTTCTTGCATGAAATTCAGATAAAAATATGACACTATGTAATATTTATGTTTAGTCTTTGATAATCTTAATATTTCAAATCAAATATCTAATAAAAGAATGTGATTTGTGAGAGTTAAATAAATCTGTTTTCTGACTCTTAAAGTGGACTCAAACATCTGTAACCTCCACCTCGGTGGACTGATCCTTGGAGTTAAAGATGGCTTCGATGAGGAAGAGGTTCTCCTCCTCCTCAGTCGAAGAAGACGGTATAAGCCTCTGTGATAGCACTTCCTTTTCTACATTTGAGCTAACCAGTGAAGAAGAACACCCCTACGCATCTTCGCTCTGGTAAGCTCTTTGCTGCCTTCCTCGTGTCTCCATGTGGCAGATGTATGACCTCACCAGCAGATGAAATGTTCACATATTTTACTCAAATAATAAAAAGCACAAATAAAAAATTATGAATGCATTGATTTATATACGTGTAAGGCATCATATAAACTCCAATAAAAACTCACAGAACCCATCAGACCTGGCTGTCATTGTGCAGAAATAACTGTTCAGGAGGATAGCGTGAAACGTAGATGAGGAATAATACTTGACATCTTGGTGAACAAGTAACGACACACGTTACAGCAGGCGTGGCCATCTAATTCTGAAGCTCTAATCTCACACACAGCTTCAAAAACCCTCTCCTACATCTGAAGCTTCAAAAGAAGGTGATTGGTTGAACCATCTGTCTTCTTGGTCCAAAATGTGAACACTGGCATCCTTGAATCCTTGAACTTTGGTGGTGGATAACAACTATCAGACACCTATGATGAGGTCTTCAGATCCCTTCCTTCAACACCCACTCACATCTTGTGTCAGGTGACCTCAATAGGTCACATGATAGGGCAGGCAAGGTCTCACAGTGGTTTCACCCAAAACCTCTGGTGGTAAAGATCTACGCCTTTTTTGACACCTTGGCTCGTGTTGTGGTGCATCTGATTAATATTGGGTCAACGAGCACCTCCTAAGGGACAACCCCCACTAAAAAAACCTTTTCAAGCTCTTGAGACTACCATGAGCTGGATGTCTGAGAACCTACACCGACCTCTCTGACATTGTGTTTTCGTACCGTGTGGTCTTTGTGGCCCATCGTAGAGCCAAAACACCCTGTTTCATAACTACACAGAGATCATCCCGTTAAATTATTCAGCACCATCATTACAAAATTAACAGTTAATGAATAGTAAACCATCTTCAGACTCTTGAGTGTCACTTTTAATTTAAAATCCTCTGAATTTGGGCTAAAATATATTAAACACACAATCAGATGTAGACATGTTTAGTTTCTTTATATCCCAGGTCTTCGTATAACCAACAAAAAACCATCAGCTGAGTGGTTTTCCATTTGTTTACCACTGGAGGAGACCTGGAATGTTTTTGCGATGCAGTCATATTAGAGCTTTTAGGTTAATATTTACAGGAAAAAACAAAAAAAATAAGCCTGATGAAGATGAAAATGTGTTTTTGTGCAGCTGCCACAGCATCCAAGACTCTCTGCTGAGCTCTAACAGCAGCTTTACCGGATACAGAGGCATCCTCAACTGGATCATCATCCTGCTGGTTAGTTTCTCAGCCCTGCCTTATCGTTTGTGGAAATACATTTAAGATTTTGTTGAGTTATAAAAACGCTGTCATTCTGATTTTTAAGGTCCTGACTCATGCTCACCTGTTCTTGGAGAATTTCATACAGTGAGTATAAATGACTTCTGTCCTTTTTTTTGGTTTGAATTTTCAGATTTGGTGGACTTCACATCCATTTATAAAACAGACCCTTCACCTACGAACACACTTGCTTTTTTTGTAAACCTTTAAAGTTTCATGTTTAGTAAACCTCCCATGCTTTACTCCAGTGTAAAGTCTACATGCTGGGAATCTGCGGGCACATTTAGTGGAAGAAACGCTAAAGCACGAGCACTGCGCTTCACAACAGCACAACACACTCTGAATCTAGAAGACTTTCGGATGATAATTTGTGAGGAGAAGCGCCACGCTGAATGTGTCACATGAACATATTAAAACCTCTTGGTCTAAAGTCCAAGAATTTCTATTCATTACAGTATTTTTTCCAGTTTAAATACATCCCTGCTCTCTGTTTACTGTTTACTAAAGCTAACTTTGTTTTCCTCTTCATAACAGACATGGATTTTTGATAGATGTCAAAAAGGTTTTGGGACATCTGATTGAGGACAACTGCAACTGGCCGTCAGTCATCCTCATTCTGGGTGAGAACCATTGGTATCCGTAGGACTGTGGCAGAGAAACAAACACATCATGAATGATACAGGATTACTTTAGAGTAGAGAGAATAGGTGTCTCCAGCAGCACATTTGTTGTTGTGAATGAACAAATTTCTTATTTTCCCAGCTGCCAACACGTTTGCTCTGATAGCTTTGCTTCTGGAGAGGTCCCAGGAAAAGGTGAGAGCTTATTATTTTCTCTTTTAGATGTGAAAGGATGTATCTTTCCAGAGAGGGACTTTTTGACACAGAAAAAATAACAAATCTTTGTTTGTCAGGCTATGCTGTCTCTCTCCAACGCGCATCGTTTACACCTTACTAATCTGGGGCTGCTGGTTCTATTTCCTGCTGCTGTCATCGTACATGAGCCTGCAATGTCAACAGGTAACTTCAAACCTGCGTCATATTTACTGTAATCCGGACCGATAGATTTGAGTTCCCTTATAAAATGCAGTCATTGGCCACTTCATTAAGTATACCAGGAAACAGATTCAGATCAGATTTTGATCCTTGTTGACATCAGTTTAATCCAATTCAGTTTTATTTTTATACCACAAAATCAAAACAGTTGCCTCAAAGCGCTTTATAAGCCACACAAAAATACAAATAAAACAGAGAAAACCCCAACAATCATTTGGCCACTCTATGACCAAGTGCTTTGGCAACAGTGGGAAGGAAAACCTCCCTTTATTAAGAAGGAGACCTGTGGCAGAACCAAGCCGCCTGCCGTGACCGGTTTAGGTGAGGGGAGGGGATGACGTGACAGCATCGCACTGGTACTGCAGATTTGTTGGACTCCAGGACTTCCATGTGTATGGCTGTATCCCAATTCAGGGTCTGCAGCCTTAAAGGCCGCATTTTAAGGCCGATTACGTCACCGCGACGCGACGAAGGCTGTCCCAATTC